ATCCAACCAGAAGCAAATCGAGCAATAGTATTGCTGAAGCCTACGGAGTGATGAATATTGAGTTAGGCAAGAGTATTCGATGAATAGAACGGGATGAGAAATAAGATGAAAATACTCACCGATGATCGAAAGGAGATAGACAGCACTTTTTTCATTAATATTCCGTTCATTGATAGCCATTTTAACAATGAACAAGTATGGAATATAAAAGCCAATCATCGAGCAGACATTTGCCTAAGAAACATGAAATAAAAAAAATCATTTAGATATTGATAGTTTTCATTTGATTTTTATTATTACTCACTAAAGAGAGAACACGCATCTTAATATCATTCAAAACGTGTATATTGGTCATGGATAGAAATGTATCCCAAAATGCTTTCATTCGTTGTGGTTTTTTCGTCTCTGGTACTTTTGTTGTTTCTTGTATATAGGTAGGCAAATCTGGTTGTGCTTTATATTCCGGTAGTGTTTGTACATTTCCTGGATATAGTATATCCTCTTGATACATACTATTAACATGAATATGCATGGAAGACGAAGTATAAAAAAAGAAAAGTGAGCGAAGTTAAATCAGAATTTCTGGAAAACAATTCGACAATGATAAAATATGATTTTATAGCCTACCACGACGAAAATAGATAGCCAACAGAAGACAGCTAAATATCAAATCATGAAATTCGTAGTATTCTAATACTTTACAGGATTCTTTATCAGTTTCAAAAGTACAGATCAAATCTAATATTAACTAATTTAGGTAACAAAATTGTTGAAGACAACCAAGGAAAACTGTAGTAGATTTATATTTGAATGTGTGTAGAATAAAGCAAAATTTCAAGTAAAAAGGAACATTTTATCAACTTGGAAACGTTTTCTTAAATTCATTTTAACCAATCATTAGATGATGTACATCTTGTATGCAATTATTGATTAACGTAAGTTTCGACATTTTATAATGAATACTGACTAAAGATAATTGAGATATAAAACAATTCGTTGTTGAATTTTAGTAATCCAATGGTAAGAGAAGCGTGCGATAGTGTTCATGAACAGTAGTAGACATGTATAAAGTCTTGTTTACCATCCGTTGCAAAAATCGGAAATAGAAAATCTTTCAAAAGAAAAATGGTTCTCTATAATTCTGCAAATTTTAATCTCAATCTGATACGCTTACCTTCATTCTTTTTTGCTTTATATATTTAAACGAACATTTAGATCAATTTAATTTTTGGATTCTTTCAAAGTTAGATATAAGCCTCAAATAAATGTTTTTCTTTTTTTAGATGCGTTGGTATTTCGATTTCCTTATTTTATAACTTTTTCTCTTAAAAAACAGATATTTTATCATATTCGAACTGCGGGTGACTTCAAAAAAAAAAGAACAAATGACTTACGGACGTATAGCATCTTCAGCTTTGATACTTCGTCTTGACTTGATTGAAGCAACTGAATTAGCTCGAGACCGCTTATCTATCGAAGATAAACAGATATCCAAATGCTCATGTGAATGATGTGTAGGTGACGATTCAGCCTTATCATTGGTTTCTTGCTTGTCACTAAGCAAAGGAGCTGTTACCTACAAAAATAAAACGGCAACGACTTCAAGTGAGGATCAAAATGCTGGTAAGAGGTCTTCGGTTGTAACTAACATAACTACATTAAATGTGGAGTACCCTTTTTGACTTGACACAATCACTAATGATCATCATATAAGCAAAACCTGTATCTGAATCAATCGTACATATGATGAGTTGTGAAACTGATTTCGAGCAGGTCACATAGCTAAAACTTGATTTCACATAGTGGCACTTGAACAAATGTTAACTTAACATAATATAATTTATTATATCGATAAAATAATCTCTAACAATTATGTGTCATCTACTAAAGGATTGTTAATAAACTAAGAAAGGAACGTCTCGAATTGCTAAATTAAATTTGTAATTGATATTATGTTCATGTAATTAAGCTTAGGAAGAAATAAAAAGTCTAAACTGGTGTAGCTGTTTGAAGTGTCATTTTTGAAATGTTGATATTTTCAATGGAAAACTATGATCTCATTCAAACCACTTAGGAAATTGTATTTCAGATTTCGACTTTAAACTTTTCAGAAGAGCTATTCTCTATAGTACTATTTCATTGTGAAATTCTTGCTAGGTTTGACATCTCCTATCCTAATAAATCAATGTTAGATCTGACTATATATAATCAATACATCAAATTTGTTTTTATAATTTTTCACTCAGATCTTGTACAGGAAACAGGAGGCTCCTTGACCCACGTACTTGTGGATGGTCTAAATGTACTAATCAGAGCACCAACAGAAAATAAATTAGAGCGAATGATATAGTTTCTAGAATACGAAGGTACTAAAGTGTTCAGTAATCTTTTTGGATATGTCAGGAAGTGGAAGCAACCAATCAACATCTCTAAAACAGTCAGCCAAGTTTTTCACACATAACTCAAGTTACGTTCCCTAACTGTCTCAATCAGCGATACCCTATTCGAATGCATTACCGAATTCAAAAATCTTGGATACATGTGGATGAGTAAGCTGCCCATGCACAAATCCGTTAAAGATCGCTTAGACTAGGTTCAACGGCCTTACATGAAGCTTAAGGGGGCCCCCCCCCCCTTAGAAAATCCATTTTTTGGTAAAGTAATCGAAGTCGAGTTTTTATCATAGAAAGATGCAGCGAAGTTTCCTCTTTCAGAATATATATAAATTTTTAAAAAAAGGTCAAATTTTTACAGACTTTCGTAGGAGACTTCCAGCTCAGTACACGGTTTTTGGAGAGATTTTCGTGGTTTTTGTTATTTTTGGGAAGACTACTTTTGTACTTCTATCAGCATGGAATAAGCATTCTTATATCATATAGTACGGCCTGTAGTGCTAGCTTGTGCCATCTATTGCGCGCTTTCAAAAATTTCACATATATATTATCAATATACCATTATTTCCTGCAATTGAATGAAAAAATCCATTCCTAAAACTTCTTTAGCGTTTTTCTCAAAACATGGTTTCTAGACAGGAAAATCGAAATAACTCCCACTCGGCTCGGCATATCACCCATGATTTTTTTTTGTTTTAAAGGTCTTGATTAGAGCTAACTTTTCATCGGACGGATTTTTGATATTGAACCCCAGGGCTGAGAAAAGTGGAATTTACTGTCGTCGAACCACACTTTTTTATGCTTATTTTGCAGACATGTCCACAAAATCGCTCGTAAAAAATGAATGGAAGGGACTTTCAAAATTCCGTCCGATGAAAAGTTGCGTACAGAGGCTAGCTACAATTTGAAATCAACCCGAGCTCTGTATCCCTTCTCTGGACGGAGTTATTTCGATTCTTCTGAAAGGTAGGAAAACCAATCAAAACTGCGATTTAGTCGGACATGTGAAGCTGAAATTTTTATCATAAGCGTTTCTCACTAAGACCAATCATCTCTGAAAATTTCAGCCCAAACGAAGGGTCCCAAGTGGGACTTCATTTCTAAGGGGGGGGGGGGGGCCCTTAAATGGTTAAAGCATAATAGAGCCATTTCCATTAGTGTTTGGAGACAATGCTTTTTTTTGCTTGGCTTTTTTGCCTATCCCCATTTCTCCTTTATACGCAGCAAGAATTACTCAAACAAAAATTTAGAGTAGGTTTAAGACTACTAGTACACAGATGTTCATGGGTAGCAGCCAGTGAATTGCACGTCTTCACCGCCGAAAAGGATCTAGACTACTATGTTAAAAGGTAAATCAGGAAGAATGTGAAAAAATTCTACAAGACATCTTTCAAAGTCATTTTTTTCAATGATATGTCCTTTTCGAGTGATTTTAACAAAAAGAGAAAAGCAATGCAGTAGCACATTACTTCCAGCTACCAAGGGTGAAAGAACCGAAGAATAACCACACATTCCTTTTAGGGATATGGCTGCAATACGTAGAAGGCAGATAGCCGATAAAACAGACATGACCGAACACTTAGAAATGCTAGACTCAGCTACCCGTCAAACCTCATTCTCCCTTTAGTATCCCGTCCTCCTTCCCCATACGTGCTCGTACCTGATAGTCCTATGAAGAACATACAGTTTCTAGTCGCTTTGGATCTATTCATAAAATGTAGAATACTAGTTTTTGTGGTAGATAACGATGTAATCAATTTTATACTACTGTAACCGTCTTCTTTCATATGTATCCCTGTGCTTCCCTTTAAACTACATTCCATTTGTAAGCGCTCCAGAGTGTCAGGAATAAACCTTGCTTAAACAAAAACAAAATCAAATTTGCTTTTATTTATTTCTGAGGACAGGACTTGCCAACATAAGTGAAGCTATTACGATGTAGTACTATCATGAAAAAACTAGTTTTAAAAGTTGGAAGTCAAAAGTACAAGTAAGATTTTCAAATTAGTACGGCAAAGACTTCCGGTTTTTTTCGAGAATTCAAAGTCTAAAACAATGAAATCTTTAAAAAACGAAACTATTTAAGATTTCTCACTCACAAACATGAGCAAGAGACTATAAAACAACGAACAATTTCATTTAACTTGTATCTAGAAAAAAAATTTTCCGTATTTTCTATGCAAAAGAGTCCTCTGTTTAAAGTTTAAAAACGTTTCTTAAAGATATCATTTGTGTATTGATTGTACAGAGCCTTTCTTCCAAAGTAGACTTTTTCTAATAAAATATTCAAATCCGATTTTAATGCAGTATTGAACATTGTAGCGATTCAAGTAGCACAAAATATCTTTTTTTTTTGAGGAAATTCCTTCTGATGAATTTTCTCATACAATAGCACAGGCAAATAAAAATATCGTGTGTTCAATGGTTCACTCAACTGGTTATGAAAAGCTGAGCTACAAAGTACAAATGAATAAAAGCTTTTCATTTTGATTCTCAACTTGAAAAACCATAAAACTCACTGTTGGATTAGCTGCGTTGACATCACTCCTACAATAAAAACAATGATAATAATACGATGTGAATTATGTAAAGAGAATACACTAAGGCTTACGACAACTCAACATCATGCATAATACGTCGCTTGCGAACTGGTTTTAGAGGTTGCATGAATGCACAGCAAATAACGCAACCCAAGAGAATGACGGCAAGGATAAGAAGACCGTTTTTCCAGCCGAATCGGTCGAATAAAAAACGTGATAGAGGTCCAAATGTGATTGAACCGATGCCAGTACCAGCAGTGACAATGCCTATGAGGAAAACAATAATCAACGATATCATCTACAAAGTTCAATAGAACTTGTTTACCAGTGGCGATAGCACGTTTTTTATCGAAATAATATCCAACCATGACAATACTTGGCAAATAAACGAGACCCATACCAATACCGCCAATGAAACCAAATAATAGCCACATGAGCTGGATGTTCGGTACAAAAACAGATGCTGCAACAGCTACTGCTGCAATTATGCCACCAATAATACCGATCAGTCGACAACCCCATTTATTGCATAGAGCCGAAGCAAGTGGTGCTACGACGACAGAAAAAAAGTCAATTGAAAAATGAAGAAGATGGATGAATTACCACTGAGCAAGTAGCAACTACAAGCAAGCGAAATGACAAGAGAAACAGCCCATTCTTGACATTTGTAATGTGATTTAAGATCATCAGAAATTGCTCCAAAAGCATACAAAAATCCATCAATAATCATATTGATTAGCTGCACAATAAACAACAATAAAATAATAATTAACAAAAAATAAATGCTAATACACTTACAAAGCAGGCAACAAGGACCACCCAACCGAAGCCACCATCAGGCGGGATTTTAATATAATCATATTCTTCATCATCTTCAGGCTCACTTACTTTGGTAGGTGGTTTTTTTTCTTTCTCTGCCACTGATGTTGTCTTCGACTTTGATTTACTTTTATTAGTCATTTAAGCTCGATATTGTTGATTAAGATAATCAACGAAACGGTTCTCAGTAATCGATGTGATTAGAAAATGATAAATAGTTGATGAAAATAAACAGTTGAATCTACTTTTGAAGCAATAGAAACAGATGAAATTTAATACTGCTAACTGACACAATTTCACGTTCCTATAGGTTTCTATGTGTGAGTGAATTGCAACTTTTTTGGTATGTCTAATGCATGTATTGACTATTTCGAGTTCAAATATAAACGAAGCTTCAACTGCATGAGATGTCTTATAAAATAAATGAAATGAAAATCAAACCAGCACTTGCCTGTAGCACAAAACAAATTATTTCAATTGTAAATTATAATTCATATAGGGTCGTTCTATAACTGTGGCAGAAATGCAAAAATAAATTTGATCTGAGTTGTAATAAAAATACACATAATGATTTTAACGTAGTAATTGATGTTTCATTTTTTCAAATTTGTTCAATAAGTCAAAAGTGTGATTTTGAATAATCACCTATATAAAAGCGCTTTTCCTCACGTAACTGACATTTTATATTGGTATCATGGCGTGGAGGCGCGTAGTTTTCATGAAGAATCATGATCCCTGCGCGTCTCTGTATACGCAGTGATCGTAATGAACAACTATAACTGAGAAGAGCTAGTCACCGAATATCATCATCGTATTTCTGCTAGGAAGTTCGTACTATCGTCCCTAGTTTGCTATAGAGAAATAGCATTTTTTGCTACATGTTCCGATTAAAAATCTACAGAATCGAATGCCGAAATTATTGGTTTGGGTATTGAGATCATCAAAAGAGCATCCTTTTTCAGTAGTTATTTTTGGTAATTGACAACACTTTGAATAATAAACATAAAACGTTATATACAGCAGCTTTATTTTTGTTATATATTTAACATAATTAATGTCGATATTTCATGTAACATGGTCAGACCAAAAGTTGAAATTACAATTTAGAGAGAAAAGCCGACAATATATACAGAAAAAAAAGGAAAAACGATTATTTTTTTTTCTTTCTAGTTAGAGGACAGATAAACACAAACATATGTTAGTGGTGTTTATCTGTCTCTCTATTGGGAAGAAAGAAACTCAATCGTTCTTCTTTTTCTTGTTTTGCAGTTCAAATATATGCATATCTAACTGTTAAAACATGTGTTTGTGGTATTTATCTGTCTTTCCACTGGAAAAAAAAAGAAAACTAATAGTTCTTCCTTTTTTCTTCTTCGCATATACTCTCGAATTTTCTCTCTAAATTGTAATTTCAACTATTGTCTTGACAATGTTACGTAAAATATTGAAACGTCAACATTTATCATATTAAATAAATAAAATAATAAATAAAGCTGCTGTAAATAACGTTTTATTTTGATTACGCAAAATGTTTAAGGTAGTAATAAGGTCCCTATATTATTATTAATATTTTTTATCACGGATAAATAATCTTCGAGACACAAAAATTAGAATGCGATATAATTTCTTAAAAACTACCAGCATAGAAAATTGATTACCAAAACTTATCCAGTTTGAAAGACTCCACGAATACCGGCAATATTAAAGAGCGATATAAAATTGTTATTGGCAAATCTCAATAAATGAGATAAACATGAAGAAACGACAACTACGTCTCTCATATCGAATATATAATAATTTAAAGCCACTGATAGAAATGGCTTTAGAGAGTTTCATCAGTAGTCGAATTTCAACAGTTATTGGTGAAATTGGAAAAGAAAAAGAAACATGATAGATAGAAACACACCTTAAGATATTGGATATGTTCAGAAATTTGAGAAATCTAGCTTCTAATACAAAATGCTCCACGACCTTACTCTAACCTATTAACAATTACTCAAAAGGAGTTCTTACTAATAAAGAGATATTAGCATTGAAAATTTAGCTTTATTTTATGTGTCCTTTACTAAGATTTGATGAAGAAACTTCCATAGCTAATATTGAAACTTTATTAGTGAATTTACTTAAATATTGTTCGAAAAAACATAACTATGAAAAATGGGATATTTATGAGAAAATTACTTATAACTTAATACCAAAACAGTTATTTGGAGCAAATAAATGATGTGAATTTTGTGACAAATTCAGACAACGCGGAAAGAACTCTATATTAAGATTCAGAAAAAGAAATAAATCCAACAGTTACAACGCTAAAGAACTTATCTAAGAACAAATCAATATATATTACTCGTGCTGAAAAATGTGAGGTAGTGGTGATTTTGATATAACAGATTACATAAATAAGATGGAAATACTATTGAACGAACCTAAAATCTTGAGATAATTAAAGGTAGATTCTGCCATTTACATAGAAGAAGTAAATTGCAGAAGAAATTATTGATATTGAAAAACTCAGGCTTTATAACTGAGAATAAATACATATTCGCTCTTTCTGAAGATTCACAATCTGGAAAAGCATATGGATTTCCGATGATTCACAAACACGGTGTTTCTTTACGTCCCATCATCTGTGCATGCAACACCTTCAATTATGAATTGTCAAAATTATTAGCGAAAAAAAAATAGAACATTTACGAAGTAATTCATCTATAATTACTGATACATTTAGATTGGTTGAAGAACTTCATAATATAAAATTAGATGAAGCTAAAATTGGAATGATGTTTTTTTAATAGAGTATCTTTATTCACAAGAGCTCTTCTTACACGAACTATTCAACTTATCCTGGAAAAAATGTGTGATCCTGAAGATACATGTTTGTATAGTGACAAGAAACGTAATGATTGATGCTGTATTGGTTAGCAGAAATGTGAAGGAAATATTTATTATAAATCTGTACACAGGAATCCCATTTTATATTTAATTGAAAAATATATTGTCAAAATGAAGAAATAGCAATGAATAGTCCATTAGGATCTCTATTTGCTTACGTTTATATAAATTACTGAGAAGCAAAATTAAAATACAGGCTAAAAAAAATGTAGCGCTGTTCTGGAAACATTTTTGGATGATAGCTTGGCACTGATCAAAGAAGATATTGACACTAACAGGTTGTTAGGCATTTTAAATAGTTTCGACATTGATATACAGTTTACAATTGATACTAAAAAGAATAATTTTCTTCCATTTCATGACGTGTTCTTAATCAGAACAGTAAACTCAACTGAAATAAATTCATTTGCAACATCTATATATAGAAAATCTACATTTACCGGCTTATTCTTGAGAGTGGAACTCTTTCGTCGCTCATTCATACAGAGTCTCAGCTATTTTTTCAATGAGCTATAGAGAGATTAAAATATGCTCGTCCTATTAATTGATGCACACTGAATTTCAGTTCGTCCTGAATCTAACGAAAAATAATGGTTATCCACCGAAATTCATTCACAGTCAAATTAAGAAAAAACTGAACACACACTTTGAAGGATCCAAAAAGTCAAAGATATTCGTTAACAAAATCCAAAGAATTGAAGAATAAAGTTCTAAAAAGTGAACAAGTATTTATTGATTTATCCTATACTGATAATCGAGCACACATTCTGGGAAAGAAGATTATAGGTACAACTAAAGAAAGACGACTTGATTTTCATGTACAATCGGTTTCTGGCTTACCACCAACGTTAACAACTTTCGTTTCACATAAAGACAAAATTCAAAAAGACTTCAAGTCTAATGTGGACTATATGATATCCTACTTAAAATGTGACGAAAGTTATGTAGAAAAGACTATCAGAGAAGCAGCAAGAAAACATTATAAACATAGAACGTCACAACAATCTAAACCATATTGCAGTTCTCAAATAATCTAATCAGCACCCACTAATCAACAAATAAGAAGATCTGATCGAAAGAAGGGCATATCTAAAATAAATTCCTTTCCTAGACAACAGGATCAAGAAAATAAAACTCAAAGTTTTAATGTAGATTAAATGAAAGAGTCAGCTCTCTATAAACATCAAATAGAAAAAAAATCACAAAATAAACTGGGGTGTATGGAGCATTATTTTAAAAGATTATAAAAAATAATAATTATCAGGCCGTGAATCACTACTGATTCTACTTAAAAACCTACCTTAAATCGAACTCCGTGTTCTGTTCTCCTGATAGTATATCCAGAGGGAATATAAATGTCTAAACCAATGATGAAGATAAAGACAGTGACAAAGTAATAAACCATGGAGAGAAATACAATTAAACGTGCGCGTGTTTAACTGTTAAACCATATGTTAGTGGTATTTATCTGTCTTTCCACTGGAAAGAAAGAAAACTTATAGTTCTTTCTTTTTTCTCGGTATATATCCTCGACTATTCTCTCTAAGGTTTAATTTCAACTTTTGTCTTGACAATATCATATGAAGTATCGAAACATCTACATTAATTATATGAAATGAATAAATAAATAGCGCTACTATAAATAGTTTTTTATTTCTAAAAAGAATGCCCTTAGCAATAATTTATCTAATAGTATGTAGAAAGTACAGTAAAAATTCTTTTAGTTGATATCAGTGTAGATAGAAGGTCTATTTGAGACAGGCACATACAAATAGTTCTAGAATAGTCGATCAACCTCGTCTCATATTGTCAATTGCGTTTATTGCTTGAACGAAGAAAGAACACGGATATATGAATCAAGTACTATTATGAACAGTTGAGAAAGTAAATCCTTCTTTTATGAGTTTCATTATATGAAATAAGAGGATACATATTTCAACAAAAACTGCATAATAATTTATTTCAATAAAAAAAAACATATTATGTTAAGACCTATCTCTCAATAACTGATCTTAGCCCAGGAACTGTCATGGCATGAAATTGTCAGGATATGTTGGGGTTGCAATGGAGAAACCTTGGCAAATTTTTCAGTCTGATATCATGACGTTTGAGGGAGATCCTGACCAAGCGAGGGTTAAAAATAGCTCATTTGATAAACCAAATTTCTCTGCACAGGTTCATTCTATATATTTTTTTTTTCGAAAGAGCATGTCAGAATCTAGTGCAATACATTCACGCAAAAAGTTTTT